TACATTTTAACAAACACTACTATTAGTTATTGCATAACTCCGATGTTCCGTGAAATGCACTGCAGCACTTTTAGTCCTAAGTTCGAAAGTCATCGTAGCTCGTGGAAACTGGAAAAGATTACTTAAACAATTTTTAAACTAGCCAATAAATAACACATTTATAACATAATATAAGGTACTGCAGCTTTTTGCGTTGTTGTTGCATTATTTACCCCTAACGAGTCATCGAAATCACCGACATTTTGTTTTCGATTGTCGTGATGTTTCGAATCTCTCGGATCACTTGCACCCCATCTCTTTTCCGAATCTTTTCGCCAAGTCTTCAAAAAACAGATACGGCCAGAAATAGCAGATGGCATTCGTTATTTTTTTACATTAAAATGTTTAATTCTTAGGTTTACTGCCTATAAAAATCAATCTCGATGATAGCTGTACTATAGTCTATATGTAGTATGTACTATGTATACAGTTTGTATTGCGTGCGTATATGTGGTACGATGACGAGCGTTTTAACTTTTAAATACATAACCTAAATAAATAAATTGAGTCTATTGAGGACAAACAAAACAGAGAAACATTAATTAATATATATTATCATATAGATGGATCGATAAATAGATAATTTATAAAACACCCTGAAGTGACCAGTGCTGGATTGCCTGTGTTGACCTATATGGCTCAAGGCTCTTTACATTATGATGTTATATTATACAATACACATATCATATTGTAGGAACCTAAACAATATTTGCTTTGAGTTTTTTCTATTTCCTCAAAACATATTATTGTATAATGGGATCAGTAAAAGGGACATTCATAGAATTTTTTGAATTATGCACACAAAATAATTTTGCCAACGTAATTATTATAGCTTTTTTTTTTTTTTATTATTAGCTATTAGTATATTAGCTTATTGAGACGTTGAGCTGCTTACTTTATACCTACCGCCCTAAATATGTACCTTGAGATTTATTGGAGTAAATAATGTATTTAGTTCGGGGCTTACATCAGTCTACACTATACTACACACCATCGTATATAAGCCACGAGTGCGTGCGGAATAGTTGGTCATATATAGCAATAATTTGTATACAAATGTATTTAAATAGAATGTAATGATAGTAATATAATTACAAACAATTATTTAAATAAAAAATGTCTATAGTGATTCACAAACCAATAAAGATTTTATTGACTACTAGCTGAATACCTCGGCTTCGCCCGTGTGCAGTTTATAGTTATTAGCACTTATTACACAAAAACATTGTTATAACATCAAAATTCAAAATTGAAATCACAAACAGAAATAGGAAACGAAAACTGATTATATTCCCAACGAAAATATTACGTGCCCAAATATAATATACCTAATAAACCTATACATTTTATACCTAGCACATAATCACGTTAAGATCATCAATAAATATATACAGGCCGGTAGTGTTGACTATAATATGCGCTGGGTCACGAACTATGTTTGAGCGGAAATCTTGAAAAATGGTCTCTTGTCTAACCCATTTTTATACGGCCCAGTGCAGCTAACGGCTTCTTATCAACTAGAAAGAGTTCGAAGTTTAAAGTTCTTGAGGTTTGTCAGTTATATGTACTTAAAACTGATTACACATTTAAGCTTAGTTGCTATTTAGCCAATCGTAGGAACGAAGGTAACTTAACTTTTATTAAAAATGTACTTAATGGTAATATCGATTCTCTTACGAATTACGTCACAAATTCATTTTAAAGCAACTTTTCACTGCACATGGCATTCTGACCCATTCCACAAGCTAATGTTTCATTCTTATTATGAAAAAAAAAAACCCACCACTCTGTCGTTGCATGTTACAAGCTAATTTGGGCCCCACCTTTAAAAAACAAACAAAGTCAGTATGCAGTGATCTTCTGGCCAGAAAGAGGTGTTACCTGAAACTGAATAAATTATTCGAAAACACAGACAGAAAAAAATTAAAATAATCATACACTTGTGTATATCTATATAAATAATCGTATAAAAATGTAATTAACACACTTGTGAATATAAACTACCTATATAATAATAAAATATTGTTCAGATATTCGTGTTGAAATGATTATATTCTGAAAACATAATTAATATTTAATACACTTTTACCCTAGAGTCGTATGATGAGTTATCCGAGCTACTTTCAAATATAATCACGAGCTAGTAAAGCATAGATATTATTGGCTATATATAGAACCACTTAGCTATGCACCTATGCACAATCATTATTGTATTTATTTATTCATTGAACATATGTCGTGTTCTAGAGATACTATTAGATAAGATACCCAATAGAATCGCGTTCACGATCGAACAATGGGAATAATAAATATCGATTCAACTCATAGATGGACAATAAACAATTAATACAAAAATTAATTACTTTAATTCTAGTGTGTGTACACTGTTGTACAATAATATAGACCGATGGCCCGTCTTTCGCTCATTAATATGGTGGTCATAGAGAAGGACAATAATATTATAATAAAAATCACGTATTAATAAATCGATCCGACAAATATATCGCCGTGTATAGCCCCAGCATTAAGTTTTTGTTTCTTATCTTTCTATAGTGTATGTCGTATCGTGATGACCAATATTGGTAAGAGGTAATTAAAAGTATTCTTTAACAGTTATGCACATTAGACGCCGACTAAAAAAGAAACAAAAAAAATACCAACATCAAAAAGACAACAATTTAAAATCGAAATACTATTTTGTCATAAAACGTATACGATTTAATTGTTTTTGATTTTAAATATTATAATAAAGAATTTTGGTAACTTATTGTTTTATGTGTTAATATTTATTAGCCAACATTAAACTAGTCGTGTTAAATTTTTTTTTTATAAAAAACGGACGAAGATTCTTATTCAAATTCGACTTAACTGACTTGCGCTCGTCCCACATTCTGAGCGAATAAGTAAAGAATGTACATTGGTGTTACACTGTTACACTAATATGACTGTGTTTTTTTGTGCCTTCGCTTTTCGAGTTAGACAATTAGCTACAATCTTCGACGATTGATGTTGGTAAAAAAAAAAATCTTTTAAACTTAACACACAGTTTACAACAAGCTATATATACAAAGGCATACCGATTTGTTCTGATTGGTTATTTTGTTGCAATTCAAAAAATAATCAACTTGAAGATTTCAAAATGCTTACTTTTTTAGGTTCTATAAGTATTATCATTTTCACTACCCTCGGCATGAATGCCATTACGATCGATTACCTCGGTATATAAACTCGTTTTCACGGAAAAAAAAACGTACTGTGAAATCAGACATAAAAAACTCGTCATCGTTCGTATCGCGGTGGGTTCGAAAAGTCAAACACCCAAACGCTGTGTATTATATTGTTATTACTTATTACACACATATATATATATATATGTATTAACCCCATATTTCACGGTTTGTGAGTGCGGTGGCATCAGAGGCGGATGAGGGTGACGACGATTATTATTACAGTGCGAACAATGAGCGCGCGTTTCGAACGTCAGCTATTGTTATTAATTATTATCGTTATTATACTTACATCGAAACGAAAATTCGTATTGGCATTGTCAAACGCGCGGTGTCGATGAAGATATCGGTTTCTGGCACCTACAGTTAAATATAATATTGCGATATGCAAAAAATTATGTTGCAACACGCTCAAATTTCGGCCAGCAAGGATATGGAGAAAAACGAAGGAAATACGAGACTGTTTAAATTCCAACTATATACAGATAGTAATTCATCAAACATGCTCTCCACTTTTTCCCTCAATCAGGAGCGGACTGGGATAATATTTCAGGCCGGGAAAATGTTTTAGGCAGGCCAGTTAGATTTTACCTAAATAATGGGTCTATTTTTAAAAATTATACACTATATTTATATAAAAAGCTTACCTAAACCTTAAACAAAAACACAAGTCTTATTATACTCACTTACCTGACTTTTGTTGTTTTAAATTAATATACAATTTTATAAAATAGTGAAATAAACTTATTAATTTTAAATTGAGAGCCTCAATAATGCATTTATTCAAAATCTGGTTTTGGAATTTCTATATATTTAATTTGTTGTACTACTTAAGGAGTGCGCTACTGTAATGATATGCTCACACAACGTTAGAAAAAAATAAACTAAACTGTAACAGACTAATAAATAACGGTCAGACTGCAGTCACACGTAGAAATCGGACATCCCCAATAAAACCATTGTAGCCGACAAAAAGGGAAGTTGTGTATTATACGTAATCACGAATTAATAAATCGGCACGTACTTGCAATGGTAAAACTGACGGCGTGTAGCTTTCTTGTCCAGAGAAAAGAAATGGTCTAAAAAGGTCTTTGCCGCAGAAGAGAAATCTACTTCCCGGATACGCAGAAAACTTCTGATAAATCCACCATCCAACCCTCTGGTCAGCATGTCGGCCCTTTAGTCGGCAGTGCATGCACACCACCCAACATAATATAAAGCAACAACCTCTCTATTCATGCGCCAACACAGATGCCAAAAATATGGCAGTGGTCTGCACTGACTTGCTATCAGTGCCGAGGAGGGGAAGGTCACCCAGATGTATATAACAAAAATTGTAATTATAATTTACGGTTACGTGACACCAAATACCATTATGTACTGTACGACCCAAATATCAATAAAATAATAATGCTTGAATATTATAATCACACAAACCTAATTAAGGGCGCCCCAAGCGTACTGATACGAGTGATACGAACTAAATAAACGATAAAAGTCACAAATACCGAACACACTGAAATCGTCGTACGGTTACAACTGCAGCGTAATGACAATAGTAATAATACAATAACTAATATACAAACAAAATGATCAGGTTTGCGGCCGCCTTGTCAGTACACAAATCCACCATCGACTCGTTGGTGGAAGACTGTGGATGCTCTTGCAAGGGGGGGGGTCGGTCCGAAGGAGGCGGTGGCGAGACAAAACAATGCGGCACTTCGATGATGTATAATGACACACATGCAATGTACACTTCTTGGAACAAGCAAAGTACACTTCGTGGCTGCTGAACGACAAGACTACAGTTTCGTTCGTGCCATGTCCACCGCGCTGAATCGAACGGTAACAGCCGAAGAATGCGACGACGACGCACCACTCAATTTTGGGCAACTGCAAAACGGCAAGCAATTCAGTTACACGCAAACCGAAGTGGTGCGTGTGGCCCAAAACCTCGAGTGATGCGTCGTCGTCGGATTCTTCGGCTGTTACCGTTCGATTCAGCGCGGTGGCCGGTGGACATGGCACGAACGACACTGTAGTCTTGTCGGTCAGCAGCCACAAAGTGTAAGGCTTGTTCCACGAAGTGTATACATTCAAGGCCGCCCGCAGGGGGGGAGGGACATGCCCCCCCCCCCGCTAATTTAGACAATACCTAATTTTTATTGTTTATTTATTTGAATTGTGCTGTGACAATGAGCAAAAATATAAAATGCTTACATCTCAGTGCATGCTAGTAGTTCTGTCTAACAACATAATATATACATTTATATATATATACTATGTATATACTTACTATATATTATAATAATTTTTTTTTACGATATGATACAAAAAACAGAATTTATGGTAAGTGTATTATTGTTTCGCTGCCCCCCCCCCCCCCCCCCGAGAAAAATTTCTGCGGGCGGCCTTGTGTACATTTCTTGTGTGTCATCATCGCGAATTGCCTCATTGTTTTGCCCCGCCGCCCGGTTGCCGCCTATGGACCAACCCCCCTTTGCCGGACATCCGCCATCGAGTCGCGGACGGATTTGTGACTTGTGTACTGACCAAGCAGCCACAAACTGGTCATATTTTGTTTGTGTATTTATTGTATTGTTACTATTTTCATTAATGTAGTGGTAACAGAACACCGGTTCCAGTGTGTTCGGATAGGTATTTGTGACTTTAACATTTATTTAGTTCGTATCAGTACGCGCTTGGGGCGCCCTTAATTATAGGTGTATGTGATTATATAATATTGAATCATTATTTATTATTATTTGGGTTGTATAATATATTATGGTATTTATGGTGTCGAGTACACCATAAATTATAATTACTATTTTTTTTTATATACTTCCGGGTAACCTTCCCCTCCTCGGCACTTATAGCAAGTCAGTGCAGACGACCGCCGCATAATATTTTCATCGGCTCATAAACATTGGTAACAGAGCGTGGTATCGCTACCTCACTGGGGGGTTCGGGGCTTTTAGTTGTGTTTTCTCCTGGTATTTTGGTTATAAAGTACAGTGATTGAATATTCAAAGGAGGTTGACAATTATTATTGTATGGGTGTATTAGTTGACCGGTGAATATTATTATTATTAAATTTAGTCGATGCGCACCTATTGTATAACCGATGTATCTGTAACACGATTATAGTTAACAGCGTCGGTCGCAATGTTCATATCAGCTACACTTATATAGATTATAGTTTGGTAATTACGCACTATCTAGATACCTTCGATGTATCCAGAGCTTAGTGATCACGCGCACGTGCTAGTCTTGATATCGTCGATATAAATAATAGTAGTCGTGTCGCATTGATATTCTCGATATATCAATAACTTTACTAACGTTAAGTAATTGAGCCGGTCGTTGAACTGATATCGGCGGTTAATCAATATTATTATTTATTATTGCGACGACTTGTGAGTCGGTGTACGTCGGGGACCGTCCACGGCCAAACTTTCCGAGTGGACAGTTTTTCGGAAGTGATGTACAACTACACAGGTAATATGCGAATATGTGACCAGCAGTTGAGCAACCATCTACTTCGGACCTGTGTTCAAGCTCCGTCCGCCTGCAATCTAGCTTTCTGACGACGGCTAAAATCCTTTTAAAAATCTCTCGAAAAACACTCGGCACGTCGTCGTAGCGGTCATCCTGTGCTATATATCATATACTATTATAATATTACCTTTTTATATAGGCTATATAATACGATTGATTATTACAATAATAATGTAATATTTTATGTATCTTTTCCAGCAACTGCAGCAGGAAGACTGCACCAATGACTACGTCGTCACAGGAAACCTCTCAGTATACTTGTCACATCTAAATTGCGTACGCAGCTGCGGTGCAGTTTCTACATGTGATATATATAGAGGCATTTTATTCAATCCTTTCACGCAAGACGATATATATACATTTACTACACCGTACCACTCTTGAAGAACACCCCAGCGGGGGAGAGGGCACCGATGGGATATGGAATTCGTGAAGAAAAAATACGTGCACACATTATATTATATATACGTTTAACTACCGCCGAGACACCTGTACGCATTGTGTAAATTGTATCGCCTTATAATTCCTATTCACCCGCGAAGGGTCTCTCTTCACCGTATTATGTGTATCTCCCCGTACCACCCTGACTCCAGTTTCGTGATGCAGTAAGTGTGTGTATCACGAAACTCACGCATTGTCATCGCGTTTTATTTATTTATATTATTTTTTTCTTCTCCTGTGTATCATTATATTATTTCGAAATTGGGTACACGATAATATTTTTACTGTTGTGTGCACCGAACATACCGTTTAGGTACACACAAACACCGTAACGGTGTGTATATATATACACACACACAAACACACATTACACGTGCAGGACCCCTAGTCTCTTGTTCGACGAACAACACACACACACACACACACACATACCAGAAAGGTCGATATAGGTACTACACTACTGTGTGTATATATATTATATCAATGTATTGATGCGTGCAGGGACCGCACTAATAGACCTATACATATTACTGTATACATATATATTGTAGTGTACACCGGTAAAAGGGAGTCCTGCGATCCTCGAAGGATAAATATACTTATATGATATCATATAAATTTTATAGGTATATTAGATATATTTATACATTGGTATTGTGTATACGCGCCTACCTATTATATATATTATCGTATTATATTGTAGCTATTTGGTTCATTGTTGAAATTTAACGCAGAGTAAACTGCCTAAATAATATTATATTAGTATTTCAACAATAAATGATTTATCTCCGTGGCACACATCGTTGGATAATTATTTTTTGTCAAGCTCTTTTTTATGTGGTCATTTTATACAACGACCAAGATTTAGCAGTCAATGTAAAATATAAATACATAACTATAAGGTAATGAAAATAATGATTTTAGAATTGGTACATTAATATCTTATTAAAAAAAAAGAAGAAGAATGACGGTAAAATAAATAAACTAAGTAAACATGTTGGTGGTAACTGCCACTATATAAAGTCTATATTATACTGCTGCAGATTTATAGAACTTAATAATCCATTAATACTGCGTACCAATGTTGCAAACCGATTCAATGCACTTAAATCGAATTACATTAATGCATAACGTCGAGTACATGCAAATCCAAGAACTGTATTATATTATATTTTAATAATATTAAAATAATTAACACATAATTTTGGTTCTTTATGCGCATATAACTGCGTACATATTTAGTCTATTTTTAGACTACATTAAACTTCGTTTCGTGTTTATTTATTTATAATTTACTACATATAATATTATTGACTTCGACTTGAACATTTTTGGAGCAATCACTTGGTTGCTGCAATGCTTAAAAATTAAAATTTGAAAAACACTCAGTGACAATATTAGACTTATTCGAAGTCGTAAAATCTATTATTATCGATAAAGAAAAAAAATGTTAGTGCCATATATACAGTGGCGCACACTGGAGGGTTCAAGGGTAGTAGTTAGGACCGCTGATTTTTTTGGTAGGTGGGTGGGTGGACCCCCTGGCCCCAAAATATTTACATCATGAAAATTCTATTACATATAAAAATATTGAAAATAAACTATTGAATAATTATAGTCTATAACCATTAGTCTATTAGCCAATATAGAGGTGACCGAATCAATTTGCTACCACTATTTATTTTTGAGTGTGCGCCACTGGCGCCCACTGCATATATAAGTACTCAAAATTTAAAAAACACCTATATCAAGAAATACTTGAAAACGTGAAAATAACAATCAAGTGATTCGTCGGATAGGTTTATTTTGTTTGATATATAATGATATTTACGGATACGATTTTATTATAACGAAATATTCGTAAGGTAAACATATTCGACAATATAAATATTGTGGAGAGAATTCTATTCTACATTGTACTTCAATGCATTTTTTTTTTTTTTAATTTAACTAATAAGCTTTGGCGTCTGCGGCCAGTGGCATACAAGATGTTTTAAGGTTAACAATTTCTTAAGGTACAGTATTTACATAAACAAATCACAGATTATAATATATTGGTGTTAATCAAAAAGGTCATCGTGTTACTCGTACGTTATCTGGGTTTAGGGCTTCGGACATAATATTTGATACTACATTGCATTTTATACCGTATATAAAAAAAGGCATTCCGTTACCGAATTTAAAAAACTCGCAATTTTCCGACATAATATATTGTTGACGGCGGTGGTTTCTCTACAACAATAACGGAAAACAACGTACCTAATGATAAATAATAATATAATATTCGATAATAATATTATCACCAAGTACAATGTGTGCTGGACTTCGCAGCCATTATTGTCACGCCGAACTCGCATGCGTTCGACGGCAATAACAATAATTTTATTGAAAATTGTAATCCGTCGATAAAATTTTTTTTTTGGGCAGTTTCCACTCAGGCGAACGATACGCATAATATAATAATAATAATAATATTATAATGGCTATCGTGTGCACAATAATTTTTACGTTAAACCCTCTTCGCTATATATATCTAAAATCGCCGATAGAGTGTTGCAGACCCGCCGAAGTCGGTTTAACCGGTTCGTATAATGTTTTTTTACGGTTTTCGCCGATTATCGCCGTCAATGTATATAGTGTAATGCGTACCTACGTCTTATAATAATATTTTAATAACCACTCGATATTATCTCAAACACTCCGTACAAGCATATAATAATAATATAATGTATTCCAGTGCATATACGTCTTATAAATTATAATAGACTATATGGATGGCCGCCACGGTATATTGGCGAAACGATGACTCCCTAACAAGACCCGCCGCAGTGTTCGGACGGATTTGCATAACCATTAACCTAATACACTTATAGTTCGATAATTTTACACGTATAATATAATAATATTAAATGTGTTATCGTAACTACTATATATAGCTCTGGGTATGTTAAACTGACATCTTA